CTAACGTTACTCCACTGCCTTGTGGATTAGACCTTTGAGTCGAAGGCTCTGGGTGTGGCTCCACAAGAAAACCACCTGTTTCGGTTTGGGCACCCGGGCAGTATTACAGCCCACACACAAATCAAGTGACTTGTGTGGCGTTAAATTGATCTGAATGAGAGAGATAACTAATAATTCGAGACACTCACCTGACTCCTGATATAATTATGGCAAGGTGAAAGTGAAATAATTATTGAAATTGTCATCTAGACGAACGTTTTCATATTCTTTTGACAGTCTGTATCCAGACTGCTGGTTTACAAACTACCGGTAATACTTCGTAAACAGACTCTAACTTAAAACTTCAACATATGTTAATTACATCACATGATTTACGAATTTCCCTGATTTACGACTTAAAACTAATGATGTGTATGTACAAGATTATTAGGTAGAACTTAAGTGTCCTTTTGGTATTGTCTTTTCTGAACTAATTACTGAATCACGAAACTAAATTTCATCAAAAAAACTAACATTAACAGTCAAATCATTATAAAACTCAGGTTATCTTCTTTGGCTGTTACTTCTTCGATTAAATTTTTCATAGTGAACACACAACTCCAAGCTGGATAGAGCTCAGCTCATACTATTTTAGATACATAATTGTCACTATATGAAATTTAGTCAATTAGTAGTATAGAGAAACCTTCTTGAACTGTCATTTATGAGTTGGTTACACACATTATAACTTCTTACTAGTAAGCACATATTTTTTTAAAAAAGAAAAACTTATGTTAATGATAATGAGTGAAACCGAAAATCTTATTTTGTTCTTACAATTGATTGATCACTGGGTGGTGACCAATGTCATATGTGTCAAGTCCTTATTAGTGCAGATCGAATTCTATCGACCACGAGTGCTAAGTAAGTAGCACGAAACTCAGGTCCAGGGTTTTCTGTCGACTATCTCCAACTACCATCTAATCAATCTCATTTTGTTCTTTTCAAGTGTCCAAATTATTGATTTTACTTGAAATTTTCTTAAGTTATGTAGGTTATTAATTCAAAGTAATGAATAAACAATTATAATGTTATAATGCTGATGAATGTGAAAATATCATTGGATATTGAACATATCCTATATATCATTGTTGATTATGTCAATATTTGGCTTTTTACTATCATTATTACTATAACTATTTTGACTCAATTATATTTAATTGTTAAACAGGATGAAGGACTGCGTAGACGCCCAACTTCGAGACCAACAGGCAGGACTCCGTAAGGATCGATCGTGTACAGACCAAATCGCAACTCTACGGATCATTATGGAAAAATTAATTGAATGAAATTCATCACTCTACATCAACTTCATTGACTACGAAAAAGCATTTGATAGCGTGGACAGAACAACACTATGGAAACTTCTTCGACACTACGACGTGCCTCAGAAGATAGTCAATATCATACAGAATTCCTGTGATGGATTAAACTGCGAACTCGTGCATGGAGGAAAGTTCATAGACTCGTTCGAAGCAAACACCTGTGTCAGACAAGGTTGCTTACTCTCACCCTTTCTCTTTCTCCTGGTGATCGACTGGATCATGAAGACGTCAACGTCTGAAGGGAAGCGCGGGATACAATGGACATCTAAGATGCAGTTGGATGATCTAGACTTCGCAGATGATCTGGCCGTTCTATCCCAAACGCAACAGCAGATGCAGGAGAAGACGAACAGTGTGGCATCAGCCTCAGCAGAAGTAGGTCTCAATATACACAAAGGGAAAAGCAGGATTCTCCGATACAACACAGAATGCACCAATCCAATCACAATTGACGTAGAAGATTTGGAAGATGTAAAAACATTTACGTATTTGGGCAGCATCATTGATGAACACGGAGGATCTGATGCAGATGTGAAGGCGCGGATCGGTAAAGCAAGAGCAGCATATTTACAACTGAGGAACATCTGGAACTCAAAACAACTGTCAACCAACACCAAGGTCAGGATTTTTGATACAAATGTCAAGACAGTTCTACTGTATGGGGTAGAAACCTGGAGAACTACGAAAGCCATCATCCAGAAGATACAGATGTTTATTAACAGTTATCTACGCAAAATACTTCGGATCCGTTGGCCGGACACTATCAACAACAATCAACTGTGGGAAAGAACAAACCAGATCCCAGAGGAGGAAGAAATTAAGAAGAAGCACTGGAAGTGGATAGGACACACATTGAGGAAACCACCCAACTGAGTCACAAGACAAGCCCTCACATGGAATCCTGAAGGTCAAAGGAAAAGCGGAAGACCAAAGAGCACATTACGCTGGGAAATGGAGATAGACATGAGAGAAATGAACAAGAATTGGATGGAACTAGAAAAGAAGGCCCAGGACAGAGTGGGTTGGAGAATGCTGGTCGGAGGCCTATGCTCCATTAGGAGTAACAGGCGTAAGTAATTAAGTAAGTAATATTTAATTGACAAGTATAAAAACTGGTTAGGCTATTTATTTTAAATTGTATGCTTAAAATGAATTTACTTGGAAGTGAGATTCTGAACTTGCTCAGTAATTCACTTAGAAAAGAAAACTTATTTTAAGATAATTGATAAATCAAAGGATGTCGATGTATACAGTTGATGATCATAGGTAACATATCTCAATATCAATACACGTGGACAACTACGGACACTCATTCGATTGGAAAAATGTAGAAATCTTAGACAGAGGAAACTCCAAAAACACCAGAGAATTTTTAGAAGCCTGGCACTCAGGTCAATCAGTAATCAACAAGCATATTGAAATCAATCCAATTTATCAACCAATCAGGGAAATCATGCACAAATATAGGAACAAAAATCAAACCAATTGAAGACAAAACCAAAACAAAGAAGTAAACAATGATAAATTTAAGATCAATAAGAATCAATCAACATCGAGGTGCACAAAACAAGCTGTGAAACACATATGGAGAAATTTGAACACTTCACTTCTATCTGAAATTTGTACTGATGATATCATTCAGAAGAACAATGAAAGCTCCACGATCAAACCATCCAGCTCAGAGAACAAAACCCCATCAATAACATATCTCAGACAATTAAAGTGATAAGGTTTCATAGTATAATTAAACAGATAGAGCTCTGTTTAAAACATTCATTGTACAATCCTTATATGAGGTCATTGATTTACTGTTTTTTGTGAAGAGTCATAAACTAAGATGAACTAATTGTTTAATATCCTTTATTCTTTGATGGTTCTTTAATTTATCTTAATTTTTGATGGAAGATAACTTGCAAAAAAAAACTATTATAATTTCTTGAGGTTTTTACAATGTTATTATGAACATTTTGATTAAATCCGTTACATGTAGTTCACATAGGTTTTCAGTAAACGATGGTTTTAATTTTCATAAATCACCTGAAACATGGTTTATTTTATTATTATTATTATTATTAAGGATTGGCAACAAAGTGAAGAGCTTTAGCGGATATTAGACATCTGAATTCAGACTGTGGTAATAATCGACTCCAAATTAAGCAACTTCAAGAAAAGTTTTATATCTATATCTATCTATCTATCTACCTATATATATATATATATATATATATATATATATATATATATGCTTTTAGTATTTCCGTTCTCCAATCGATCTTCGTAACAGTAGTAGTGGCTGTTTGATAAGTTTAATTACGTTTACAATATATTAAGAATAGTTTTTTCACACAATTTATCATGTTGATAATTTTCTAGGCAAGATCACACATGTATCCTTTTTAAACGGCTATTGAAGACTCGTAAACTTTTGTTAGGCGGTTTGTCTTCGGTATGGTACACTTCAGTAGTGAGAATCCGCAATCTATCATCTATTATCGATAGCGTGTCTTCAGTCTCGCTCTTGAAAGCTTGTCCTGTAAACACATAGGATTCAAGGTCAAGCGTTGGTTCATTGATACTGAAATCGTGGATGCCTACTTCTCAAGAGTTTTGTGCTAGACGAAATAGTTGTCCAATACTTCCTAATATACAATGATTGTTTGCTTAAGGTCATTTCGAGATACCAACCGTGATATTCAAACTATCGCCGAAATGCCCGTATTGTGACGAATGTTAATCATCGGAATATGCTATTGGTCAGTTCATTAGGTGTCAGTAATTTATGTTTACTATTAGGTTACCTGTTAGTAAACAAAATTGTTTTCAATGTGATATTAATTTTATCTTACGTTTTGGGATAGACTATCATAAAGTATTTCAGTAGAAACTTTTCGGAACTTCTACATCAAAAACGAATTAAGTAATATTACATAATAGTGTCTTCACGTAGACAACAGACTTATTATACATTTATTTATACTTCCAAATGATTAATGAGCATGAACCGTTAAGTATCTTCATTCATAAGTTGGGTTAACGGCTGAATAAAAATATAACAGACAGAATATAAACTTGTTATTGTTTGGCTTGTATCTTCCCATTGAGGTTTAACACTGCAATTGGTCAGTCTGTTATTGGCATATGTGCATA